CCACGAAGATAGATTGATTAGTGGAGGTGCGCGTGATCAAGAACCGGATGGTGACACAAAAGCGCAGAGGCAATGATTTAGACGAGTTCGGGTGGCGTCGATCGGCGTAATACCCTACGCCCCTGTGTCTTTGGTGTGTTGTATTGAGATGTAGTTCAGATTCGATGTCCACTAGGGGACCCCTGCCTCTTTTTATATACTTTGGAGAGGTAGGGTTACAAGGAAAGTATCCTATTTGGTACTATACAATATCTTGCGGTGCACGTCGACCAGTGCCGTGCACGCCTTGATCTTATGGGCTGGGCCACCTCTGATGGTGCGGCCCATGTCTTGTCTTGTAGATACTGGGGGCCATACCCCACAGTAGGAGAATGGCACCTTAGACCATAGAGTCTTGGGTTCAATTCCTTGCACCCTCACTATTTTTGTGAATATTTGTCTGTCCGATCGATCTTTTTTTGAGGGACCGAATGGCGGATCGAAAGCACGCTACCGAACAATGAGAAATCTTCCCATTGCATCGAAAGCACCTCATACTCCCTGCAGCGGTTGTCTTGGTGATGTTCATATTGTATACATGTGATGATCAACGGTGTATCTTTGTGATGTTCATGTAGTATAAATGAGATGTTCTATGATGTATTTTATGACATTCACGTAGTATATAAGTGATGTTCTATTATGTATTTTAGGATGTTGGGTAGTATAAATGAGATGTTCTATAATTATTTTTCGAGTAATCATATAGTACCTTTTGATATATTCTATATTCTATTTTATGTTACTCAAGTATTATTCATGTGATGTTTTCTTTCATTTTTTTCTTTATCTAGTGGATTCTTTTCTCTTTTTCACATAGTACCAATGACATGTTCTTTTTATGTTTTGTTATATTTTATTAAATTATTTATTTATTTCAATATATTCATATCATTTGTTATTTCTTTCTTTCTTTTGTCCTCTTATTTATTTTACTCTAATTAGTTTTTTTCTTATTTCATGTTTTCTTGTTTTTAGTTTCTATATTCGTGCTATCGCATAATATTCTTGAAGTATACATGTGATGTTCTATGATATATTTTAGAATGTTCGCATAGTATAAATGGGATGTTTTGCGATTATTTTTGAGTGTTCATATAGTAGTCATGAGACGTTATACGGTATATTTAGTTTGTTTAAACAATATTCCAGTTCTCTTTTTTCTTCTTCTGTCACGTGGGTTTTTTTATTTTTATTAGTTTTTCCCTAATGTGATGCTCTTTTATTAAAATATTTCCTTGCATAGTTTAAAACATTCATTATTGTTGGCCTCAACTCTATATACAAGATAGTAAATATAAAATCGTATATATTATTTTTCACAGATATTACCGTACTATCGCATTAACCTATAATTTATTCTCCTAGATCTGGAATACTGGGAACATTTTTCTTTTGAAGACGACATATTTTTTTGCTGAACCTAGAATATCGTGTCTATTCAATAAAATAGAATGTTCTCTCTTCATGAGATAAATGTTCGATAATAAAATTTTATCTAAATATATCAATGTGGGGTCTTGTTTTGAAGGATTTATTACAAGAAGCACAATGTTGCAATCGAATTCAGTTTAGATGTTTAGGCCACGTTAAACCTCTCTTATAATCCGTCTTTTTCAAATTTTGTTTTTTCGGTTGGAGCAGTGTTTTCTCTCACAACAAAATCAGCCGGAACAATGTTTGACTTATTTTTTCAGCTGTAAGTTAACGGGGCCTTAATTTGTAAACTATAGATTTTTAAATTTTGTAGCAAACCATGCATCGCCATATTATTTTAATATATTATATCCATCCATCTTCAACCAGGGATAACGTAGCGCTCTGGAAGCATCCAGGAAACAACAAAGAACCGGACGAGGCGCCGCGAACCACGGCGAGTTAATTAGGCGCGAAAATTTTTGCCGGCCAGCGCGAACGTTCTATCCGAGAAAATCGGCATCGTGCCAGGCGTCGCGAGCGCGGGCGGACGGGTCACGGGTGCGCGGGAAGTTTGCGCGGGAAATCATCGGACGGTGGTTTCAGTCCGAACGGCGGACTCTAAGAGTGCTCATTTAAAAGATGGCACTCTGATCTAAACACACGTATAGGCAAAAATCAACAATTACGCTAGACAGCTACTAAATTCACTGGACATGGAAAACAATATGCGATTTTGGCTAATCCCTAATCAAATTTTGCATCAAAATTCAGGTTAAAAACAATCCAACCTCGATCAGAAACCATTTCACCAGATCTATGGATCAGACCTAGCAAACGTGGATGTGGCAGCCAGCATCACATACAGCTAGATTCGTACAGATCTAACGACTCGAAATGCCATTTCCTCCACCGATTCAATCCCACCAAATCCAGCACATCAACGACGAAATTCCCATACCGATTATAGATCTACCTCGACAGCGTGAGAATGGAAGAGGAATTGGACGAATCGTTACCTAAATGCTATGCTCGAGGCATTTCTGACCTAGATACCTGATACCGGCCTGGCCGATATGGATCGAGATGCACTCCCTCATGGTGTCCCGCAGCGGCACGACCATGCGCTTGACCCGCAGCAGCCGAGGGGGCGACGACGATCGCCGATCGGCAGTTACGAGGTGCTCGCGCGGAGCGAGCAGCCGGAGGAGTCTCGCGTGGCCGCCTTGGCCAGCGCGGCGGCGGATCAGGCGCGAGGGTCTTATCCTGGCAGGATCGGCGGCGGCGCGGGGTTGGGGATTGCGAGGTGCAGCATATTCCTTTTTTTTATTCCGTGATGATGATGGCAGCCCTCGATCCCTCCTTGCCACGGCCTGTGCATTCAAAGCGTTTGAAGCCAGCGTTAAGGGTCAGCCTTGAGGTGAGATGCGGCGTTTGAAACTGGCATCAAACATGAAACATCGGCCATCAGATTGGATTCGGGTGTTTTTTCGGCCCTTGATTTTAATAAAGACGATTTACTGTGTGCATTTATCTAGATACACAATGGTTGGAGGCTCTCAGCGGGGGACATTTTACATGGGGATTTAGTATAATTTTGATTGGTCCATTATAGTATAGATTATAATAGAGACTGGGCCAATTACACTAGATAATTGTATTACACTTACTCCTTATGTTTCATACTTATTAGTGCTTTTTGAACTTTGTCTCGGTGTTCACAGATAGGCAATGGATGTGCTATAATAATCTGTTTAGACCTTTATGTTATGGTAGCTATTATATGACTTGGAATCTCCATTATCATCTTCATCTCAACAAAACATGAAAATGTTGAGATTTTGAGATATGTTTATTGAATTTTGTCCTGTTGTATGGTTATAAGAACTTCTTGTCATCCTATGTATTGCTATGTTGCTTGTTACTTCTTCTATTGTGTATGTGTAACCCACGCGCCACAAAAAAAGCCAAGGATGTCACTAAACATCCCTTCCCTTAAGCTGGAGTACAAGACTCAGCAGCAAACACGATTAACAAAGTAGAATGTAGAAGCAACAACAATAATAAAACCATGATTAAGAAAGGTTCCGCCTCAGTTAATATTATTAAACGGTGAAGGGTCATCATGACTAATAAACTAAGTTAATTACAACAAGCCAAAACTACTATTATATCACTAAAGTGTGGGCAAAATAGTGATGAAGTGTAGCTAACCCCATCCCTTCAAGCAAAGCAATCAAGTACGTAGATTGAGTAATGCAAGGATGAGATGAAACATCTCAACAAACAAATTTGTTTTGACAAGCTATTTAAACCACAAGTTGAATTAAACAATGATTTAACATGAGGTTCCAGTTATATAGAATAAACACCATATAATATCAATATAAATGAGTGGCTTGCAATATAAAACATAGACATATGACAGAGCTTCATAATAATAAGGCCATATCACTTCAAGAGTAAAATTTACTAGTGGTCCCTAAACTTGTACGCTAGTGGCATCTAGGATCCCAACCGTCAATTTTTAATATTTAAGTCTCTAAACTTGTACTATGGTGTCACTTGGGTCCCCAACTCTCAATTTCGATATTTGGATCCCCAAACTTGTATGTCGATGTCATATAAGTCCCCAAACTTGCACTTCAACACACCGATGGCACTAATGGGGTATGCTGATTGTGTGTTGACTCACGAGTTCAAGAACCTAGATGACACTATTGTACAAGTTTAGGAAACCAAATATCAAAATTCAAGAGTTAGGGGCCTGAGTGACACCACAACACAAGTTCAAGGACTCAAATATCAAAAACCAAGAGTTAGGAATCCAGATTACACCACCGTGCAAGTTTAGAGACTGGTCATGAATTTTACTCTAGTAGCAAATAAGCACTAAGCAACCAAATTCACATCCTCCCCTTTCGGGTCACACCTTGCCTTGATTGGGATCCATTCCCTACTGAGGGATTTGTACATAAAAGGCAAAGAAAAATTTTCTTATGATTAAATATATTCATTTTCAAAAACAGGAGTTCGGTCAAAAAGATCAGTATCATAAAATATTTATGGTATTATCGCAGGTGTTCAGCATTACAGTCACCCCTAGTAAATGGATGAGCTGAGAGTTTTTTTAGAGTAAAAGGGAAGAAAGCACCCACGTTCCCAGCATATAGGATACTAATTAACGACCTCATCATCAACTATAGTTTCAGGAAGCAAAACAGTAACGACACTCTCGTCTGCTTGGTAATACCTGGATACACTCAGACCCTCGCATGAAGACAGAATGTTCAGTTAGTATCACTTGGTTCTCGGTTATCGCAGTCCAGAGTTACAAACTTGCGTGGTCACTGGTCAGATCACAGATCGGTGAATAAACCAAGTGGTAGAACAAGCATGGACGATTTGTAATGAGATAAACAGCCGCGGTGGCTTCTTCTTCTTTTCTTTTGTCTTTTTATTTCTTCTTCTTTTTTTTTTTGAGATTGTGGCTTTGGGAATTGGGATAGTATTGCTCTTCACGAATGACGCAATGAAGCATACCATCACCATGGATTCTGGTCCTCGGGGACCGGAGGAGACTCCTTGAGCACGTTCCATGGCTTCGCCTGCTGGTGTCGCCCCATGGGAAAGTTCCAGAATGTGTCCGAGCGCTCGTAGAACATGTAGAACAGGATGGCGGATGCTAGGAAGAGTGCCAGGAGTACGAGCCAGACCTGCCATTCTGCCAGAGAAGAGACACAGGATTACAGGAACAGGCGGTTGGTTAGGAAACCGTGTCAGGGACATGAGGGCCAAACAGTATTTGCCTGAACATACCTTTCCAGTCAGCAGGCACGTTCAGTTTCGTCAGCTCTGCTCCCCATTGATGCGATGTGGAGATTACAACCCTGCGATACCAGTAGTCAATGGTGTTAGGAGAAACACTGAAACTTGGATGCCAAAAGCAAATTTGTTGTATATTAGCAGTTGTGCCCAATCTAGCAGAAGAAATCCATATAGTTAGTTCAGTCTATTCAAAGGTGACCTAAGCGGAACTACACAGTATTTGAATGCCACATATTGAAACAGATGGACTTTCAGATTCAAGCATCCATGGGTGTTTCCATCAGGACGAATACTTACAGTAAGCATAACTAAGAGAGGTTTAAAATCATGACACTATAATATGCCATCTACCTAGTGATGAATAACTATATGTTATAATAAACAAGCACGCCTGACTTAACCTCTGCAATAAGCAGTCAGGCAGAACTAAAAAAGAAAAGTGCCCAGTAAACAAATATAATGCCAAGCTATAGTTACCTTTCAGTAGGGCAAAACTCAATGGAGGTGACTGGGAACCAAGATGAACTTTCTTGCTCCAGTGAGAAACTTCCATTTTCTTTACATCAACAGCACAGAAGTCACCATCATGGCTTCCTCTAAAAGAAATACAGATCCATGTGAGCATGCTAAAAAATTATACAGCGCATAGTTAGAGTGATAATCATAACTAGTATGACTTCCTCTCCATTGTTAATTGCAACATAATGCCCTTACCAACAAGATTAAAGTGTTATCAGATTGTACAACTAATTGCTTAATAGACAACGATTTGTCAAGTCAATATATAAAATATATATAATATTTGAGTTGAACACATAATCAGATATACAAGCAAGCAGAATCATACTGAAAAAATAGGCTAAACTGAATTAAAAATAAGGAGATGCTAAGTATGAAGCATGTTAATCCCAAAATTGGCAGGTTTAGATGTTCCTAGAAATGCTAAATGGGCTCATACAACTGCAGTACTGTACGACAGTAGCAGAAGTATTTTATCCACTCACAATGCCAGATACTTCCCATCCAAGCTAACTGAAAGTGTAGAGATAGGCTTTCCCAGAAGTCTTTTGTACCCAATTCTCTTCCAATCGCTTATGTTCCAGACAACAGTAACAACTTTGGAACCTGCTCCAGTGATGATGAACACGGATCTAGTCAAAATCAGCCTGCCTTCAATTCTGCATATGTATAATTCTCAAGATCAATTGAAAACACACCTTTTGCAACAGTGCAAAACAGGAATGGTTTCATGCCATCCCTAGAAAAGCGGCAACACTCAATCTTCTCATCCTGTAAGCAGACAAAGAAAAAAGTGGGGAAAAGAAGTCAAAATTTCAACCATATCAACAAGTAAATGTAAATAAAAGAAAATTATCATAGGCTCATAGCATACCGAGGATCGAGTCAAATTGACCAGTGGTGCACCCTCATCTATCTTCCATATTCTTGCAGATCCATCAGTGGATGTTGAAACTAAGAACTCAGAGTCTAAGCTACAAAATGAAAGGCACCAATGCTGTATCAGTTGGTGATGATCGAAGTGACCAGCAACCAGAAACCATGACACTAGAAAAGTTGAGATGTAGATTTGGAATCAATTTTTTTTTTCAGTTCAAAAGACAGCTCTAGTGAGTGTGCCCATTTTACATAAGCATTTCCTGACGATATCCATGTCTAATGCTAATATTTATGGCACTCCTCTGTGAACAATAAGAAAATAAAAGTAATGCTTTAAGCCTGTCCCGACCTGATATCCATGTCTCGGAAGGATTTATGAGCTTTAGGTTCATCCAAAAGCACATTCATGTAGCCAATGGAATATTCTGAGATGTCCATCCTGCAGTGGTACAAAAGAACAAGTCAACTGGTATCAGGTTCAGGTAAAAAGAGTATTGATATCAGACAAGTCACTGCATTGAACAATAGGACTAGACAACAAATGAAACATTTAGAATAAATAGTTTTCATAGCATGTACAGAGGAAGGGTTTTAAATGCAAGAGAGTGATTCAAAATATAGGATGTACAAAGGAAGGGTTTTAAATGTACAAACAGTTAAAATATACTGCTGACAACTTTCTTCTTATAGCATGTGTAACAAAAGAAGCAAACCATAGGAATGCAAAAAAAAAGGAAACAGAAAAATTAAAGAAAAAACTTTGATCCCTTGAAATTCAGAAATCAATATAATACAAACCCATACCTCTCCACCAATGGCAAATTTGGCACCGTCTGTGCTGAAAGCAAGACACTTTTGAGGTCCAACAGATTCTAGTGGAGGAGCATCTCTTGGAATAATGCGTACTGTGAACTCTTCAAATATCAGTTTGAATAACCTATAGTTTGGAAAGATGATATGCTAATTAAGTCATGGACTTGATAAAGTATAATCAGAGGACAAACAGATAAAATGGAACAAGGAAGGGAGAAGCTTTCAGGATTAATATAATATAATCAAAACTAAAAGGAATGAAATTAATGTGGAAATTAAAAAATGTGAATTGGTTAGATTAACAAGGAAACTGAGGAAGAATATTTCTATTGCACTTATGATATCCATGAGCAAAATTAAGCCTGCTTTAAATTGGCCAGATAATCATTTGTTGTGAAATTGATGAAAATGCAATTATATGCCACAAATTTACAAACTGTGTATAGCTGTAAGTATAAATTGCAATGGTAACTTTTCATTCGTCTATAATTTTGTATCTGATAATCTCATAAATCTATAGGTGTTACTAATATAAGAGTAGTTTTAATAAAACTTGAGAAATCCAGAGTGTAAGCATTACATATGCCATGCATTTCTTACATAACTAAACTACCAGGAGGAGAAATCCTTGTCGTTAGACACTAAACTCGCTGCACATTTCAAAGGTCACGAAAATCTACTAACTTATATTTCCAAATGAACTAGTACAAGCAATTCCACAAAATCCATTACTCAATTGCATAGCTCAATCCATTTAAGACTTGTGACCATTTGGTACTATGGTGCCAAAGAAGACTGATAAGTAGAAGGAAATGCTAATTTTGTCAAAGTGCTTTCAAGGAGTGCTCAAATCAGTGTTTCCACTAGTATCCATATCGTCTCTCCATTGTCCAACATGTGGATCAAAATTTCCCCACTTATACCAGCAAAACTGTCAAATAGCTAGTAATCAGCGCAATCTGACCCTGAATCCATAATCCATAATAATGGTAAAGTACAAGTACATTTCAGCAATGTTAGTAGCTGGGCAGCACCACTGGTTCATCCCAAGAGGAAAAAAACGAAAGCGTGACCTGTGATGAGTAATGAGAGGATGCTCTAGGTTCCAAAACAGAGAGCCCTGATTGAGCCTCCCTAAAATAGCAAGTCAGCTGTCACTTGAGCAATTCAGCCGCAGAAATAATCTAAAGTCGCTCTGAATTTCACACTCAACAACTAATTAGTGCCACTGATGGGCGGACAGACCAACGGTACAACAGTGCACTCCAAATCACCCAAACGGACAAAAACCTGAAATTGCTGCGCGGGCAGTGGGCAATTGAGGCCAGACCCACCCAATCCATCGCCGAGAGAACGTCCTCTCGCTCACGCACCTTAAAATTTCACCACAGACACCAACACGAACAAACAAGCAGTTTCCAGGGAGGAGCAGAATGGCGCACCTGCAGCCCGTGGCGGTGGCGCAGACGAGCTCGTCGCCGGCAGGGTGCACCGCGATGCCGCGCGCGCGTCGCCCGCGCCGCCCTCCCCGAGCACAGCCCTCGCCTGCAAGCGCAAAACCGATTTCGAGGTCAAACTCAACCGACTCCGAGCCAGGCAAACCGAGGACGACGAGGAGGAGGAAGAGGAGGTGGAGCCGGATGGGCCCGCTTCCGCACCAGGGGCTCGGGGGAGAGGGACTCCTTGGCGTCGAAGCCGAGCACCTCGAGCGCGGGCGGGGAGCCAGCCGCCCCCGCCGCCCAGCCGTACGCCGCGAACACCCGCGCCGCCGCCGCCTTCTCCTCCGGCGCCGGATCCACGCCCCGCACGCCACCTTCCCCGCCTCCCGCCGCCGAAGCCTCGCCGCCGCCGCCGGCTGCCATGGGTGGGGCTGCCTAGAAGCTGCGGGGTTTAGAGAATTTTCAGAGGGCTTTGCAAGCGGGGAGCCCGCGAGTTCGAAGCGAGCGCTGTTGTTTGAGGAGAAGGAAGTGGGGATCAGACGGCGAGGCGAGCCGAAAACGACGACCAAATCATTTGTGCTCAGTTGGGTATTGCGCGTGGGCCCCACCGGATATTCGTTCGTTATTCGCTGACTTTCTTCCGGCAACGCCAGCTGAGGGATTCCTCTCTGTGTCTCCACTTGATTTCCAGGCAAAAGGGTGGGTGGTCCAATGATTTGGGGATAATTCACAACCATGTTCGTGGTAGCATCGTGGTGGCAACATATAACGATATAGGTTATTAATTGGTTGACTTGCCGAAGAAACAAGTTCCGTTGATCATTTCACGAAATGGGTGAAGTTCGGGCCGAAATACATTCGAGAGTTCTTTTTTCTTTATTGGCATCTCCTAGGCGCTAGAAAATCATGAAGTAGAGATGGATTTCAAGTGCCATTCTCTACATGCGTGTTTTTTTTTCTAGATTTGTGTTCAGGTTTAAATTTAGGGGTGACCGAATGAGTTGTCGAAATTGGTTGTCCAAAATAGTTAGGGACGAAGACGGTTAAACCGATGAAAAAGGCAGCTAAATGATTTGAAGTGCGCGCGATGGGATCGCCGTGCGTTGACCGTGTGTGATAAAGGATAGGTGGTGGGTAATGTCTCGAGACGGAGGAGGCACAGGAAACCCAACAACGCCTTGTTAGAGATGGTAGAGATGTGAGGACCGAACATAGTGGATAAGACCAACAACAAAAGATGATGTACAAAAAGTAGATAAGAGACAAAGCTATAGTAAAATCTAAAATGTATATATTGAAAGAAAGACAACCTAGAGTTGAAGAGCGAATAGAACAATCTTATTCGTTTGCCTAGTCGCTTGAAAAATAAAGAAATAAATGTAGACATTTGTAATATAGCATGTCCATTTTCATTTGGTTAGTTTGGGGTTATTGAATAGAAGAAACTGTGTGACTTGTACGTACGTAAGCAACTTGACTACTATATAGAACATTACTTTAGTTACAAATAGTGAAATAGGTTTCATCATGAGCCACCTGATCTGACTCGTTCAACAAAAACCTATCCCAAACAATATACTTCAGTATCTTACATTCTTTGTGAATACATATTTATCTTCATGATTTATGCATATACTTCAATGTTTTAGCATCTATAATCTACTTGATAATTGTAATATTAGTGGTTTACCTTGAGGTAGATTCAATCAAATATGTTCTTCCTCGTAAAGTCGTTGTTTGAACTTTATTGTGAAAAGAATTTGCTAATGGGGAAAAAATATAACTAAAGAATCTTTGCAGACGAGAGCAAAATTGCTTTTGGTGTGGCCTATTGTTTTGGCCCGGCCTACCATGGTTGATGCTTAATGCCCCGTGCCTAGGCCACTCCCCTGGCATGACGTGCTAGCCAGATTCGGCCGAATTAGTAGGAGAGGCTCACCAAAGCACGTCAAGGACAGGCGCAAAAAAAATATCTGATTATCCTCATGTGGCAGGACAATTATTGAAGCACGAGCTCCGTCCGGCTATCGGAACAACATGAAGGAATAATTGAAGACTTCGCCTCGAATGCTCCTTGAACGATAAGCATGAAGGACACTCCCTTCGATGCTATATAAAGCTGAAAGCAAGGCATGCATTCGACATCGAAGAGCCAAGCATCACAAAAGACTACTGACCTCGAGACACCTCACTCTCATCCACCACCCACCCACACTAACTCCCCACTCACATACACCATGAAGACATGATCCCAGGAAGGACTCTGAGAATCATCCACTGTAATAGTAACACACCGCCTACTTAGTAGCCCTCCACCGTTGTAAATTAGAGAATAAAAAAGAGGTCCCGTGATCTTTACTGCGCTTGTAAGATGATCCCTAAGGTTTGTGCTAAGTGCTTGGGGTTTCCAGAAAGGAAAAGCCGTATGTAAGCTTGCTGCTGTGGAAATGAATTAAGCTTTCTGTTTTAATCCTTGCCTTCCTTTAAGCTCGTTCATATGGGGCGATGTCTCTATGCTAGAGACCCCAGAGGAGAAAACCTCTGCATGTGTTGTTCTCTGTTAGCCCTTGTACAATGGCGTTTGTAAAGAATCTTATGTCTTGTGAGAGAGTGTTCTTCCGGGTGGAACTATGCGGAGGAGACAATAGAGCCCGAGTCACGTGTGTGTGTGGGCTGTGAATATGCGAGGAGGAGACCCGGGTTAGCTGGTTTCAAGCGAGCTAGTGATCTATATGGTGAGTACCGAGTAGGGGTATCACAAACATAGTCGCGCACGACCTGCTGAACTGTTGGTCTCTCCAATGAGCAAAAGATCTGAGAAATATTTATCCGCATACGCATATTAAGCTAATCGCACGCGTGCAACTAATCAGTAAAGCGACATCCACCATATTTGTAGGGCCCTGATGCCTTGAATAGTAAAGTGGTTGAGCTCTAAGCCACTCCGGGAGGTGAAGTCTTGTGGCTGTATTTATTCAAATATTCGAATTTAAATAGTGACGCTTGAATTTGAATAATATTGTAAATAGTAACTTAAAATTTTAAAATTTGAATTTCTAATCGGTTCGAGTTCTATATATATATATATATATATATATATATATATATATATATATATATATATATATATATATATATATATATATATAGACACACACACTGACACACTGCATTTATCTGCGGTAAAATTTAACTCCAGTCCCCATCCCCACCAAGACGACGCATCCAATTTGCTTCTATGCTGCACCATGTTTCCTCTCTGTCCCTTCTCTTCCATCGCTGCTTCCTTCTCCTTCAGTGTCAGCTCCTATCCGTTCTCTACTTTAACACCGGCTCCTATTCCTTCTCCACCAGAGCGGGCGGCGGCGACCACGACGAAACAAAGGCATGGTCTCATCCAGCTTCTGTGGCGGTGGTGCAACCTTGGTCAGGTGGCAGGGGCATGACGAGCTCAGCGGGCCCTCGAACCCACCTGGCATGGCTAAGTTGGTGTAGGGTTGTGTTTAGACTGAGGTCGCATTCCATGGCTACGCACACAACACACAACAATTATTAATAGGGTTTTGCCGGCCCGACTCTAGCTCTAATCGGGCTATGCTTTAATGAACTTGACTAGGTTAGATTCTGCTGCTAGTTTAGCCATCTATATATATAGCCACGAGAGCAAGACTATCTTTTTTCTAAACTCAGTGGTCCATTGGTTTGTATGTCTCTCTTCGATCTCCACGACACACACTGTCAACTTTGTTATTTTCTCCTCAATACTAATGGAACCGTGGGCTCATCATGCCTTTGCTTAAAAAGGAAATTCAAACTCGTTGCACTCCGATCTCCCATAGTCCCATATATATACTCCATTCCATTTCTCGCAGTGGATTTCAGTCCACAAGAATTCTCATTGTATACAAGTGTCAAGTCCATATATATACCAAGTGTCAAGTGGAGTTCCATATCATGGAGCGACGTCATGAATTTCGCATTCAGTCGCATGCGGCCTCGCCAGTGCGAATGGAAGATGTGACCATGCATGTGAAAGGCACCGCGAGCAACAATAGACGCAAAGCAGCTCAGCAACCCTGATCGCATCGGGATACTCTCACTCTCCATGCATGTGGACAAAAATTCGTGATCGATTTCATGCATGAGAGTTTTAGTGACATAGCTATAGTGATCTGCCTCCTGTTTGGATCCATTCAGTTTTTGCCAGCTTTTAAGAATACGGCTTTTGGAAACTAGTTGGGATTCAAAAAGCCCGATTTTTATCGATTCTTAAAAACTATGAAGTTATTGATGCCCAGCTCTTTTGTTAGGTTTTTTACCCATAGGAGCAATAAATGAAGCGATTCTTAAAAGCCGGGGAATTCAAACACCGTCACCAAT